ACAAATTTAAACACAAACATGTGTGTGTTACAATAATCAATGCGGCACATCCCATCGAGCCGAGTTAGCATTGAGGAGCGAACAAGTTTATTGGGCGTTGCATCTTAACTCGATGGAGCGCAACTTAGTACGAGGTCCGAGCTAACGTTGTTAGCCCGTCTTAGATCTAGCCGTGATTGTAGCACACGTAGGGTTGGTACATCTAACTCACACGGAAACTTAAGATAGGCAAGGGAAAATTAAAGAAAATGGCAAATCTATATATATATATAAAACTCAAAGGTGACTGACTAACATAGTGATCTATCAACGCACAGCCCAAACCACTGGACGGATTGGCATGCAGGTAGATGTTATAACGTAGGCATCCGCTAAGAAAGGATTTTGATCAATTCTATATATAAAATAGGGAATGAAATTTTGTATGAAACTTTGTCAATTTTAAACAGATCGGGCTGAGACTTTGCATGCTGGTATAAGAAGAATCATAGATGAAGCCTGAGAACAAAAACTGTAGTCTACACTTCAGCTCTACACCGAAGCGAAGCGAGGGCGGGTCGCTAGTTGAATTATAAGCCTGAAAAAAAAATTATAAGACCAAAGTCCGATTGCTTCAGATGTCTGACTTATGTCAGGGTAGATTCAAAAATTTCTATTTCGTTTGCTGGATTTAGACCAGGGTGATTCTGTAAAATAAAATCTCACTTACGCTTTCGGTTGCAGCCATTTTAGACATTAGTTTGATATGCATTACGCCATTGCACGGCAAAATGTCGCTATGTCTGTAGAAGCAGTCAGTATTAGATATTTGACATTTGTCAGAAATCCGAAAAAATGAGACCACGATGATAGCGAACTCGCTGGCTTATAGATTGTAAACTCGCCCCGTATCATCGAGTAGCAGATGGTAAAAAAAACTCTCTGGCTTGTAGCCTTAGATTAAAACAAAAAGGGTAGATACGATACGCTCATACTTGCATCAAACAAAAACTGATCCCACGGCAGCGCGAACGGGAGGCGAGATCCGCGTCACTGCATTACCGACCCGAACGAAACAGCACGTTAAGTTTCAACGGCAGCGCGAACGAGACGGCGAGATCCGCGTCACTGCACTACCGACTAATCACGCGACCAGTACTCGACGTCACTACCGAATAAGATTCAAAACAAACAGCAATTTTTACGAAAAAATATATTTTATAGTTTTATTTTTAGTTCTTGAGCACTTTTTAAAAACACACTTAGGCATTGTTTTATCATATAAACACAAAATATTATCAATATTTCTTTTTGGCGTTCACATGTACGTCCGCGTCGTTTGCATGTCAAGTTGTGACTAAAGCGATTAGGGTCGAGGACCACAATTTATGCGGATCACTTTTGTGAGGCTAGTGCCGTATCTACCCTTTTTGTTTTAACCTAAGCTTGTAGCTTGTAAACTCACCCCGTGTCATCGAGGTCTCATTTTTTCGGATTTCTGACAAATGTCAAATTATTAAATATATTTAATTAAGTGCGATTGCATCTTACAGAATACCTATGTTGTGCCTTCCACTGTCTTTCGGGTCGACCTAATTGGCAATGATCGTACGATGACACGACACGATCTCATCGTGCGAGGAATATAATGTACCCGTGCTCGTGCAACCGCATTCGAGCTGTATTAGGACACTTCTGAAGAAATCTTTATGTTTGAACTCATCGCACGACGAGATCGCAACGTATCATCGTACGATCATTGCCAATTATGACGGTGCTTTAGGACGGAAGCACTTACCGCGCAGCAACCGCGCTCTAAATCTTTAGATTCATTAATCATGCAGGTAAACGCTTAAATGAAATATCATCATCATTATCATCAACAGCCTATCTTAGTCCACAGCTGGACATAGGCCTCTCCAAATGCACGCCACTCAGATCGATCTTGGGCTACTCGCATCCAGCTCCTGCCAGCCACCTTGCGCAAATCGTCACTCCATCCCGCCTGAGGACGTCCTACACTACGTTTGCCTAGACGCGGTCTCCACCCCAGAACTCACGGTTATCGGTTCTTTGACAAATATGGCCAGCCCACTGCCACTTCAGCTTACTAATCCGGTGGGCTATGTCGATGACTCTGGTTCTCTGTCGGATTACCTCATTTCTGATGTGATCCTGCAGATCCTTCAGAAATTCCTTAAAAGAAATATATTGTAAACTAATTGCAATATACAAAAAAAAACAGGTAAATTTACCGGTTTATCTGTTGACAAATATGACCCATAAAAATAATGGATATATATCTCAGTTCAAAGTCAAGTGGTGACAACCTTCAATCGATAATTTTGCAATGGATATAGGCACCGTTGTTGGTTAAACTTGATACAAGATTAGCATCACCGAGATCAGCGCAGTGAAATTCGCTCGTACCCAACAAATACGTATGTGATAATAATGGAATTAAATCACGAATCTAAATCGTTCTTTTCATGATTGTCTTTATTACTTTTGAAATAATTACAATATATAATTGCAGAGTTTAGAATTTCTATAGAACAAATAAACAGATTTAATGCATATATTGTTTTAAACTTTCATGGTCACTAACATTATAGCTATTAACGGGATTGTTACCATGTACCTTGTTTTTTATGAGTCTCCGATATCTCGGCACTGTTGCAAGCGCCATGATCACGGAGTAACTGAAGTAATTGCGGGTAGATGTTATTGGCAGACATATCGATCTACCCTCTGACGTCGTCTTTTACTGCGCTCGATACCCCTACCACTGGTCACATTCTCACTATTCACTCGCACCTGTTCCCGACACACAATATATCGGAGACTCATAAAACACAAGGTACATGGTAATAATCCCGTTAATAGCTAGAAGATTTAATGCACTATAAAATTGCGCGAAGTGTCAAATATGAATACAAATCCGTGCTTTAGTTGCCAATGCTAAAATAAGTCAATTACCTAGACACGGTACATTCAGTGCTTCAAATAAGATTAGTTAGTAAGCGAGTGGGTCAGCTCTTAGCACTAAGCAAGGCTAATCTTTGTTGTGTAATCCTTGCCGCGTACAAAAAATAAGTAGGTATAAAAAACGGCGAAGAGTTCGATGGTGCAAGTGGTTAGCGCGTTCGGCTGCGATCGTTGAAGTTAAGCAAGTTTCGCAGTGGTCGGTCATTAGATAGGTGATCAAAAATTTATTATGTCGAGCTCCTTCGTGGTTCGGAGGGCACATTAAGCCGTTGGTCTCGACTGCACCTACAGTAGTTAGCACCTACAGTAGTTAGCACCCACTTATCTGTAATGGGCCCGCGTGGTGGATCTATTCCCAATCTTCCTATTCCATCCATAGGAAAGGCCTATGCACCGGCAGTAGGAACATTAATAGGCTGATGATGATAAGAAATCGTTAACTTTTTGGAATTCATACATTTAATGTTTTTGAAGTGAAAATTATCGTATTATAATAATAAGTGTCTAGGACGTCCAGGTGGTAGCTTTATTGCGAAGAAAATACATTTTTTTACAATAGATGTCGCTACGCTTAGATGTGATTCATGTAAGTTGATTTTTTTACAATAGATGTCGCTAGGTGCGCTTAAATGTGATTCATGTAAGTTGATTTTTCTATAAGATAAACTTTTTAATGTAATATAAATTGTCATGTTTGTGTACGATAGCGCAATAAATAAATATTGTATTCTACCACATAAATTATAGCACTTTTATACTGATAATTCAAGCAATTCGTGCAAAATTATTCCCTAACCATTCCAAAATATCAAAAATGCACAACGTTAAAATTCAAGTTTTCACTTCTACCGGAGTGTAACCCGCCGTTTTTTTTTTAACATTTTTATTTCATTTGACTTCAGTGATTACACTTTCTTTTTCCACGTGGGAACGACAGGCCTGTAGTCAATTAGTGCCCGATCCGTTGTCTCTCAGGCATACTAATCCGTACCGGACGGGACGGAACTAACCGACGCGTCCTAAATCCGATCCGATCACTGCCGGGTCCGATCAGCGGGCCCGCTATTGTTTGCTGATTAACGCGAATCACGCGAGCGGTAATAAATTCGTCGATGTATTCTTGGTGGTGTGCACATTATAATGTTAAGTATACCGAATAGATGTTCGGCAAAATTAGCCAGCTAATAGGGGTGATGACGGGGTACAGTAAACGAATTTCTATTTAGTCCGCCAGTTAGATGATCAAAAAATAATGGACACGTATTTTTTCTTTGGGCAATCAACCAAAAAATGACAAATATATAGCGCGTCAAAGTTTGGGAGTAGGGGCTCGTGACGTCACTTTTGAGTGAATTTTCACTTATAATTGTACTCAAACGTGACGTCATGCGACTTTTCAAATCAATATATCTCTGCAATGTTTATATTATGTGAAAAAAGAAAAAATACGCGTCCAATACTTTTTGATAATCTACCTGATAAACGAAGAAGAAAAAAATTGTCATCATCCCTGCGGCATCCAGAAAAATGGCTGAAGGACAACTAGCCAAGTCATTGAAAGCAACATGGTATTTGATTAGTAAACCTTGTCTTATCCAACTCCCAATCGAACCTTCGCGTGGTTAATAAAACAGTAAATTTTAATACATTTTTGAAAAAACAGACAAGAGACAATATGAGGTCACTTGTCACTATTTATCAGAGACATAAAATATGAACCTATTTTAGAACTACAACACTACTTTACTACTTTAATCAACATGATTATTGTAACTGCTCTGTAAAGTTTGCAGATGGCTCATATTATATCTTCTTCCATTCCGTCGATCCTACCTACCTATTGGTATGATAAATTGATATGTGTTGTAGAATTTGAGACACTTGCCTACAATACAGATTAATTAAGAGCCAGCCAAAAAAAGCAAGCTAAATGATTGACCTTATTGACCCGTTTTATTTCATATCCCGTAAGTCAGTTCATCGTCTGTATAAATATTAAGTGAGTCTGTGGAGCAGTTGCATTATAAATGTTACGTCCATACATTCAGGGACAGTGCATCCGGTTAATTTATAACTAATCAAATACTCATAAGAAAATGCATGTGAAAGTGGTGCTGACGCCATTATTGATGGGCTTACTGCTTCCTTATCAAACAACCTGTCAGGAGGATATTTGTAAGTAGTGACAATTAAAATGACAAGCACGTCGAATTATATAATAAAAATGGGTGCGTGTACTTATGTAGGCGCGTGAGAAGTTATCCTTCTTTTGGCATCGTTTAAAATTAGTTTTTAATTGCATGCAAATAATTAATTACAATAAAATAATAAAAAGTCTGGAAAAGGACACAGTCAATAAAGTTCAGTTTTAATTTGAAAAAATAAATAAATAATCAAAATATTCAATTAAAATCGCTACTGAATATAATTTATTATTGAACATATATGATTTGCACTTGTATGAAACTCAAACACGTATTCCGAATATACAAACTAGAAACATGTGGATAAATATTATAAATATGAATACCTATAACTGTTACTTTATTACAAAAAATAAAGATGTGGTTTTTGGTTCTACTACACCAATGGTCAAGAGATGGCGCTGTAGTCTCCTGAATCGCGCTTTGGTTCCGTTGTTCCAGATTAATAAATACTTTTGATAGGCCTTCACAATGCAGTCGTTAGCATCCACTAAATAGAGATTCTATTTCTATTTTGTTGGTAGATTTTCTTAATGTGCGGTAAACACAAAAGTAACGCATGAAGTTGGTCGCTAAAGCGGCTAACTTCATGCTGGTAAAATTTTGTGTTACAGTGATGCGCGCGCATCTTAAAATTTCACTCTCATCATTTTTTCATAACGCGCCTAAAGAAGTATAACTTCAAAAACAATGCGTATTTTGCGTATATTTTCTCCTACCTCTGGGGGTTTACTCTCTTTCTCCGAAACGAACTTTCGATAACGAAGTTCAAACGAAATTTAATTTCTTCAATTTAAGGTTATACTTAATTTGAACGATAAACTATCAAATTGGAGCTTACTTTGAGTAGGTTTAGAAAATCTACATCCAATCTATATTCCGTCGCCGAATATTATTATAATTAAAAACGAATCAGAAACATAGTAAGAAAAGTGCGAAATTTCGTTCGAAATTTCGTTTTTCGTTAAATTAGAGTAGGCCTCCAGATGTGAAAGTACTAACAGCGTTGTGAATAGAAATGGTACTTACTCAAACGTTTTCAAAAATCTTTTACTCTTTCCTTTTCGTATGAAAATCATCGTCTCAATTTTATGATAAACAGTTATACGAAGGTAGGTAATGAACGAAGTATTCAGCACTCAAGAATTTTGATATGTGCCCACTGATAAATGCTTTACCATTATAGATTTAAGTATTACCAGCGCTGGACTGAAGCAACACATCGCTATATATGATATTAGTATACTGCTCTTGGCAGAGCAGAAACTGAAATAATGACTGTTTTTTTCTAGATTAAAATTATTAAATAATATACTACTTACATGGAATCTTTTTGTTTTGTTTCAGTACCTGATGATGATATCGAAGATCATCCTCTATCAAAGAACTGTTTACAATGCTTTTGTAAGGTAAATATAATATTCGGTTCATCTAGTATAAGTTACGGCTTGAAACTCTAGCGCTGACCGTTATTGCGCAGAAGTAAAAATTAAGATGTCTTGGGGGGAAACGAGGTGCGCGGGTGGGCGAGCTTTGCGCCGATTGGCTCTGCATTCGTACCCATGCGAAGCTATCCCCTCCGCATTTTGTTCAGGGCTAGAGTTGCGTGCCGCGATCTGTCCTTACAGTTTTTTTGTTTTCTTGTATTGTTTCGAGAGATATAGATTCTTTTAAATTGTTTTTGTATTGGTGTTTATAATGAGTAAAAGATTAAATGCAACTTCACACTAAGATAACTAACTACCCAATTGAAATAATACACGAATCTAAGTTATTTAACTTTAAATCTAAAGAAAAGTTTACTTGAAAAAAATCCACGCGGACCAGGCAGCGGACGGGATTCGAACCCGCACCCTTCGCAATCCAGGCGAATGCACTGACCATTATGCTACCACGGCCCTATTAGCCGCGTCGAAATTTTCCTAGCCTTAAGCTGCAAGGCAGCGCGAAGGGTGCGGGTTCGAATCCCGTCCGCTGCCTGGTCCGCGTGGATTTTTTTTCTAGTAAACTTTTCTTTAGATTTAAATATCTAGCAGCTAAATGCTTAAAAATTAAATAAAAAAAAAAACTTTTTTTATATTCAACCAGGTCCTAAGTCAAAACTCTACCTAAACTAATATTAAGTCACGTGGATTCCAGAAGCTATTTTACCTGCTACACCATTACTTGCTGTCTTGTCTTGTTGTCTTCGTCGACTTGTCTATTTTAGCACATTTGTTGTCATAAAAATGACTTTGTTTACAATGAACCGAAGGTTGTGCTTGCAGGTGATGGGCGGTGATCCGCGCAACCTTCCAGTGGCCATGATGGAAGGCTGCTTCGACAACACCTGCGGCGTGTTCCGCATCACAATAGGATACTGGGAGGCTGCCAATTATAGGACCAAACTCACATCCAATAAGACAGGTATTTGTACTAGATTTTACAACGACTACAGCTATTATTTCTCATTGTAGAAGCTTTTGACTAAATCTCAAAAAAATAAACACAATACGAACGTCTGGTTCATTTTTGTTCTGCCCGATAAAATAACTAAAATTACAAAATAAATTAACACCGACCACAGCGGCACCGAAGCCAAGATCCACTGCATTGCACACTTAAAATTACATCGAAAGTTAATGTTTAGAAAGAGTTCAATTAAATACATACGGTAAAAGTTAATATAAGCTATACGTAGGTATAAACTTATAAAATAAAGATGTGGTTTTTGGTTCTACTACACCAATGGTCAAGAGATGGCGCTGTAGTCTCCTGAATCGCGCTTTGGTTCCGTTGTTCCAGATTAATAAATACTTTTGATAGGCCTTCACAATGCAGTCGTTAGCACCCACTAAATAGATATTCTATTTCTAGTTTGTTGGTAGATTTTCTTAATGTGCGGTAAACACAAAATTTAAAGTAAGCTAAAGCGACCAACTTCATGCTGTTAATTTTTGTGTTACAGTTACGCATCTAAAAAATTTCACTCTCATCATTTTTTCATAACGCGCCTAAAGAAGTATAACTTCAAAAATGACCAAATACTAAACAACCATATTGTTCTTATTCGAATGAAATATTATTCAGAAATCTAATTAATTTACCCTTCTAAGAAAAGCAGGTACCTTTTTCCGCAACGTGTACTTAAGCATTTCTTTAAGAATTACAATCTAACTCAGAGACATCATTAAATATTTACTTTAAATTTTATTATGTCTCCGTGTTGTTTCTGAGTTTGACCAGAAACTTAAACCTTTATGGGCTAACTTTTTATATATTGTTTTAAACTTTCATGGTCACTAACATTATAGTAATATAAGTTATTTACGGGATTGTTACCATGTACCTTGTTACTCCGTGATCATGGCGCTTGCAACAGTGCCGAAATATCGGAAACTCGCTAAAAACAAGTTACATGGTAACAATCCCGTAAATAACTTATATTACTATAATCTTTTTATATTTATTGGCACATTATAATGGTGTTCAAATTAACATTGCTTTTACTTCTCCACCTTGAGAAGTTGAAAGTCAAAACAAACATTTGACATCGTAATCATTGATGTTATTCTGTGTTAGCAGTTAAGTAAATTATTACTCTTAAGGTGACCTTAACCTCGACCTCCAAGAACATCCTCATTTAAAGATTCATTAAGTCCAAGCTATTCATAATCATCAGCTTATTAATGTAACCAAAGCTGGGGCATTGGCCTTCCCTAAAAATGAAATAGGGAGATTGGGCCTTGAACCAACACGCGGGCACAGTGCGGATCTAACGACTGCAGATGCAGCCGAGACCAACGAATTAACGTGATAATAAGTTTATACCACCCATCCAATGACCGACCATTGCTAAAGTTGCTTAACTTCTACGATCGCACGCCAAACGCGTCGATTAATGAATATGAAAAGTTCAATAAATATTTTTCTTTCTTTCTTTGAAATTCTAGCTCTATTTTGCTATCATTTCTAATGGCGCGAGCACATTTGGTCGTTAGCTCGAAAACGAGTGCCAATAGAATTCGGGTAAACGTCTAAGTGTAAATGAATGGAGCCAGTGTAAATATTGCTTTAGGTACCCGAATTCGAGCAATGTCTTGCGTGCACCCGAATAAAGGATAACAACCCAGTATAGTTGCGGCATAATGTTGAAATATTATAATATTATTATTGCATTTCTTTAATTAAGAGGCACAGTTTGTACAACTGCTCATATTTTTGTAATTATTATTCTCGATGTTTAAATCTAAAGAAAATATTACTAGAAAAGAATCCACGTGGACCAGGCAGCAGACGGGACTCGAACCCACACCCTTCACTATCCGGGCGAATGCACTGACCATTATACTACCGCGGCCCTGATGGATGTGTCGATTTTTTTCTAGACCTTCTTAAGCTGCAAGGTAGCGTCATCTCTTCGTGGGGATGTCGAAAGTTGAAAAAAATATCGATACATCGATATTTTAAAAAATATCAATATCGGCTTTGTAGTAATTAATAGTTAGATCGTGATATGCCGCTAATAATTAAAAAAATATCGTTTTTGATACAAATTTCGATATTGGTTATTTTGTATCAATGTATCGATATATCGAATCAAAATATATCGGCAAAAAATATCGATATATCGAACAAAAAATATCGATATATCGATACATCGATATTCGCATTATAGAAAACCCACAGTGTCAAAATTATTATATTTAAAAGGATGCATAATCTTGTTGTAATGTGTTTTCATTGGTGAAGACCTGTAATTGGATTTTTGTTATTATTTAAGTCTTCCAAACAATAAATAAATAAATATTTCTATTCGTCTTAACAGAGTACGAGAGCTGCAGCAAGAACGCGTGGTGTGCCATGCGCACGGTCCAGCGGTACATGCGCCGGTACCTTCCGGTAAGTGGGCTGGTCACATTAGCCGCAGAACTGATGGCCGTTGGAGCCGGAAAGTTCTTGAGTGAAGACCGCGACTCGGTAAACGTAGTAAGGACGCCCTGAGACAAGATGGGATGATGATATTCGTAGGCTGGCTGGAGTGGGCTGGATGAGAGTAGCACAAAATCGGGAGCAGTGGCGTGCATTAGGGGAGACCTATGTCCAGCAGTGGACGAACATGGGTTGATAATGATGATGATACTTATATATGTATATGATGTGGCGGCGACATCTATATGCCCCACATATAGACAACGGATGGAGGAAATCATTACTCACCATCCTCAAGAGATGGCGTTACCTGCACTGCGATCAATAATAGTATGGAAGCCTACATCGCGCAAATGAAATTCGGAAACTAACTCTTCATATATACGATGCCCGACCAACATCAGTTGGGCCGCGGCCCCCGAGCTACCATCACCCAGCTCGGAGGAAGATCTTCCCCTTTGGCCTTCCTACAATATCAATTTATGTATTATATCCGTTTTTCTAGTATTCCATAACACAAGCCTTACAGTGCTTACTTTGGGGCTAGGCTAATTGGTGTGAGTGTGGGATATATTTATTTATTCTTCCAGGCCGTGCAGTCGAAGCGTCCGGAACGTTTGCTATGCGAGAACGCGCTGGCACTGCACAAGTTCGGTTCCCGGCGAGGGCATCACAACCTCACCGTCTCCAACCGCAAGAAGCTCTTCACCTGCCTCCACAGATACGTGTCTAAGTGGCTTGAATATGATAAACCTTAGTGTGTTCAAGATTTGAGAACATCATTTTTGTTTCTTTCAAAATGTTGAAGAACTTGGCAAGTGAACTATTAAATAAAACATAAAGTTGTCGAGATTGTTTAGTTTTATTTGAAATGAAATGAAAATGAAAATGATATTTATTCAGTTTAGGCTGTTAAAAGCACTTGTAAAGGTCAAGAAGCTACGCTATCGGTTCTCAAAACTACGGCGGGAGACCTTGTACTGAGAAGAACCGGCAAGAAACTCAGCAGGGGCTGCTTTTTTTCCCTGTATTGGTATATACAGAGTCGTCAAGTTGAAAAATGACTTCAGAGATACTTCTGAAGTCACCTTCCATTACATTATTTAGGAAATAGATATATAGTAACAATAAATTTTATATTTAGTATATAGGAAGCGGCATTAGATAGGTACCATATTACTGTTACAAAAACTGACTCATACCCATCATTTTACTTAAACCTCTTTATTAATTAACGAAGACTTAGCTTGGATTAGTTTCTCTATGTTCTGAACAAAACAGGGCTAACTAGTTTAGGCTTGTACCTTGTTTTTTAATAAGGTACATGATTCGTCTTTACATTTATAACTAAGGTTACAAGATTTAGTAATTTTATGTGAGGATGCTTAATGAGATTAAGTTATAAACTTTTAGATCGTTATTGATTGAGTGTCTTCTGGGAACTAATTCCCTATCATATGCTATAACAATAATCATTGATTTTATAATATAAAGGTATTTATATGAAATAGAGAAAGTTCGCAATCTGCGACACCTTAATTAGGCCAGTCATTAAAGCCTTAAACCCGGATATAATTAGTAACTTGCTGAAATTTTGAGGGTTTTCGAAAGAAGGTAAAAAAACTTACCGGGTGATTTTGCAGCGTTCTGGGGTGGGTATACGGAAAAGGTTGAAAAGGGGTGAAAAGTGTTTTTTGTAAATAAAATTGCCAAAAAATTAGTAACACGTTGCAAATTTAGAATAAGGTTGTTTTTACCGTTTTCTAACGTGTATTAAATTTGCAGCGTTTTTTCAATATACGGAACATTGTTTATTATTAAAAAAACATTGAAATTTGTAAAATGAAACAACCTTATTCTAAATTTGCAGCGTGTTACTAATTTTTTTGGCAATTTTATTAACAAAAAACACTTTTCACCCCTTTTCAACCTTTTCCGTATACCCACCCCAGAACGCTGCAAAATCACCCGGTAAGTTTTTTTACCTTCTTTCGAAAACCCTCAAAATTTCAGCAAGTTACTTATTATATCCGGGTTTAAGGCTTTAATGACTGGCCTAAAAGTTATAGTTTGCATAACCTGTTCGTTTGCATAACAACGAGGAACAGTTGACATCTTTTCATTTATTTTAATATTCATTCTACACCAACGCAAGACAGAAATAAAATTACTGTTACTTTCACGAGTATCTGTTGCTTACAATAAAACTGAAGTAACAGAAAGTGCCACGGAGCAAAGCTAACGATGTTTTGAATGGCACCCGACTCATTACATCGACGTTTCCTTTCCTTGGGAAACCTTCCTTGTTCCTATACTGTACTGAGATCTAGACAGATTCAGTCTAGCTCAGTGATTCCCAAAGTGGTCTATATCGACCCCTAGGGGTCTATGACAACCTGCAAGGGGTCTACGTCAGCGAAAAAAATCAATATCAGGTAAATAGGGGGTCTACCCAACACGGAAAAACATGGCAAGGGGTCTACGACACAAAAAAGTTTGAGGAACTCTTGTCTAGCTCAGTGATTCCCAAAGTGGTCTATATCGACCCCTAGGAGTCTATGACAACCTACAAGGGGTCTACGTCAGCGAAAAAAAATCAATATCAGGTAAGTAGGGGGTCTACCCAACACGGAAAAACATGGCAAGGGGTCTACGACACAAAAAAGTTTGGGGAACTTTGGTCTAGCTCTGTGATTCCCAAAGTGGTCTATATCGACCCCTAGGGGTCTATGACAACCTGCAAGGGATCTACGTCAGCGAAAAAAAATCAATATCAGGTAAGTAGGGGGTCTACCCAACACGGAAAAACATGGCAAGGGATCTACGACACAAAAAAGTTTGGGGAACTTTGGTCTAGCTCTGTGATTTCCCAAAGTGGTCTATATCGACCCCTAGGGGTCTATGACAATCTGCAAGGGATCTACGTCAGCGAAAAAAAATCAATATCAGGTAAGTAGGGGGTCTACCCAACACGGAAAAACATGGCAAGGGGTCTACGACACAAAAAAGTTTGGGGAACTTTGGTCTAGCTCTGTGATTCCCAAAGTGGTCTATATCGACCCCTAGGGGTCTATGACAACCTGCAAGGGATCTACGTCAGCGAAAAAAAATCAATATCAGGTAAGTAGGGGGTCTACCCAACACGGAAAAACATGGCAAGGGGTCTACGACACAAAAAAGTTTGGGGAACTTTGGTCTAGCTCTGTGATTCCCAAAGTGGTCTATATCGACCCCTAGGGGTCTATGACAACCTGCAAGGGATCTACGTCAGCGAAAAAAAAATCAACATCAGGTAAGTAGGGGGTCTACCCAACACGGAAAACCATGGCAAGGGGTCTACGACACAAAAAAGTTTGGGGAACTCTGGTCTAGCTAAACAATTGAATCACAACCTTAAGTGGACAACCAACGAGTTCCAATTCCGCTGCATCTAGAAACAACGGCACTAAATACCTAATGAGAACGCTCCGACCAAACGTAGTGAATTGAAAATGTCTCTATACGACTTGAGAGTACTGGAGCTAAGTCTCCGGATCTTAGGATCCATATTCCCTTGTGAGGTGCTGTCATCTGTCGATACAAACGGCGTTGTGTGTAGGCGGGAAAGTACAGGCATAATTAGTCATTAACGCAACAGGAGTGGCGAGGAGGAGCCGGCGATTGATGCAATCAACTGTGGTCTTGGTTCGGAGTGGACAATTACTTTCATGGTTTGTTCGTGGTGGTGGTGGCAAGTTTAATGGATTTTGTCTACACTCGTGCTTTAAAACCTCTAGAAGAGATTCTGAAACAATAAGCTTATTGAAAACACTAAAACATTCAATGTAATAATAACCATAATAATTATCAACCAAACAAAAGATGATATAATATTGTACTAAATTTCATAATAACACTCCTTCGCTTTTTCGATCTCTTCCGCGCAAAGGATTTTCTCATCAAAGAGCCGTAATATCTGTTGCAATAAATGACTTTATCGTTCACGCGCATTTCGTTACTGCAGCCCCGAAACTATGAATTTTAAGTTCTTAGAACCCCCCACGGTTTCAGAATCTTTTATAGAGGATTCATATCATGGTTGTAGAAAAAGTCTTGTATGCAACTGTTTATAATTAGGTATTAAAACACTCGTGTGATTTTATTACAATTCGTATTTTAAAGGGGCGTTCGATGGCGCAGGTGGATAGCGCGTTCGGCTGCGATCGTTGAAGTTAAGCAACTTTCGCAGAGGTCGGTCTTTGGATGAGTGACCAAAAAGATTCTATCTCGAGTTCCTCCGTGCTTCGGAAGGCACGTCAAGTCATTTGCCCGAAAACAATCATTATATTTTTCCTGCTTGTTGCCTTACAAGATTTTTAGAAACGATTGACAAATTAGATTCAACAATTCAAAAGACAATCATGCCCAAAGAAAAACATACTCCAAAAAAAGTTTTAAACAAAAACTAAAACCGACTTCAAAATCTAAAATGAAACTAAAAGGTAAAAATATCTGGTTCATGATTTGGAAGTCGGACAGGTCAAAATTGAAAGACGTATTATTACCGATCAAAAACGAAAATCTATTTATTGTTTCAATCTTGACTTTCAAATCATGAACCAGATATTTTTACTTTTTAGTTCCATTTTCGATTTTGAAGTTAGTTTTATTTGCTGTTTAAAAAAATATTTCATTCATTTTAGTCAAAATAACATCGTCCCAGTAAAAAATAAACAAATATGCTCATTAAATAAAAACTACTGAATCAAACAAAATATTTTTTATGGAACCATAAAAGGCAAGTATGTCCAATTGAACAAAAGAAGAATCCCTCAAATTGGAACAGAAATCTTTAAGTAATCGTGTACATAAAAGCAAAGTATCGTGAAAATTACATCGTCCAAGTAATAATATTTTTTACAGGAAGGTTTCCCTCTATTTCGCAGAATTCCACCATCAGATCCTGAATTATTTCCAATGAGACTAGCTCGGAAGTGCAGTCTTTCGATTAAACAGAGAATTTAGGAAATCGTTCCACAATTGATGGAGAAATCGGTGAACATACATAAATATATATATATACAGTCGAACACAGAATCTCCTCCTATTTTGAAGTCGGTTAACAAATCTGTCCCTAAAGTCAGAGCTATAGTTTGTTTCCATTAAAACCAATAAATAATCAAGTGTCATAAATTGTGCTAATCAATTAACTGACGCGAGTATTAAATCTTAATTCAATAACATCGATATTGAATGGTCCAGATACATACCTAACGACCTAATAAAAACAATAATGTTGGCAGCCACAAACCATCTCTAGATGGAAGTGGACATTATCCAAAATAAACATGACTTAACTAATTATAATAGCCATAGGCTGATTTAACTCAAAGAAATATATATTAAATAAAATTAATATAGGTGATAACATTTATTTGTGTAAATTTTGATAGCACCTTGCTCAAACACAAACAAATCGCGCACTGGGCCTGCGAGCCCAATCTGCATATTCCATAAAAAAAAAATGTGTGCGTGTACTAGTGTACACACGTAAGAAGTGAAACTTCTTTATGGCCTTATTTTTCGAAAAATGATCTACATGCAACTTTCCAGAAATTGGTTAAATAAAGTTAAATTAGATAAAGTTTAAACAAAAGGATTTTATTATCATAGACATGAATACAAATTACTGCCTATGAAACTGTTATGATTACACGGCTCAGTAATCTAAGGCACATGTTCCACCTCCGACGATGAACGATAAGCGAGTAGAAACTAGAAACGAATTGGCAGTCCTGAGTTAAAATGCACGCGCACGGCTTTTGACAGCCAAGCCAGCTTAACCGAGCGAGGATAGCTGAGCGAGTATCGC